TTGGTGTAAAGGCGGGAATAAATTTGTGTCCAAATTTACAGCCACTCTTTTCCAGTCTTCTTGGTCGACCAAAGACTCAGCCCACCTAGACTGGGTAGGCCAGGTCCTTCGAAGGACACAGCCTTGAATTTGGACACAGCCAATGTCTCATCTTTACTTTCAGGCCTCGCAAAACATTTTAAGTGTGACTTTCTGCACCATGTCATTTTTTCCCCAACAATAGTTTCAGAGCAGCGATTTAAAGCACATGGATACATGTAATCTCCCTCCAGGTGTCAAGAGGACTGTCCAGTGGGCACCTACGGCACGCAGTGTAACCAAAAGTGCGAGTGCCAGAATGGTGCCAAGTGTCACCACATCAATGGAGCTTGTCTGTGTGAAACAGGTTTTAAAGGCCCCAATTGTCAAGAAAGATTCTGTCCTCCGGGCTTGTACGGTCTCATCTGTGACAAGTTCTGCCCCTGTAATACCTCCAACACCGTCAGGTAAGTGAGACATCCACACAGACCCCAGTCCTGAAGCCCAGACCCACCCCGTCCTGCACTTTCTTTTCAAATAAAGACTGTCTCTGACTCAGTTTTGTCTCAACTTACTGTAGCTCGCTCTCATTCAGGAGTCTGGACACACCACAGCCATGTCATCCAGTTAGCTTTTAATCGCGACCTTTGCTTCATTCATAATTTCTCAGCAGCATTCATAGTTAATGCCGTGTTAATGCTCTGATTCCGGCAGGAGTTGGGCCTCGGCCATAGAAGTCATTACAGAATGAAGGAGAAAAGGGACACCTCATCTGTCTGAAGCACGCACGTAGACACATGAATGGATGAACCGCCGGCGGCGCGCGCTTCACACTCAGGATCCTGCTCGAAAAAATGAAGTGTTGATGGTTTCAGAGCTGAATCGTCGCCTCTTTCCTTCTCTGACTGTGTTGTCCCGTGTTTGTTTCTCATTATGTTGTAGCTGCCATCCTCTTTCTGGTGAATGCACTTGCTCTGCGGGATGGACGGGGCTTTACTGTAATGAGACCTGTACGCCTGGGTACTACGGCGACGGATGCAGTCTGTTCTGCAGCTGCACCAACGGCGCCGACTGTCATCCTGTCACAGGTGTCTGTACCTGCGCTGCTGGCTTCATGGTGAGCACYGGCTACACCTAACTGCTGTTTTGTTGCACTCCGATCAGTTGCCAAATGTTGGCAATCTTTTAGAGTAGTCTTAAAATAATTGTTGGCTTTATTTTCTTTRTGACCTTTTACCATTCGGATCTGTGTCTGTTTTAATAGTGACCTTGGTAAGATGCCTGCAGTGCCACAAACCAACTCAAAACACTGTTTTACACAGATACCCATAACCTCACGGAATCATCACAGACATTTTGCTTTACATTTATTCAAGTCAGTTTAGTGAAACCAGTTGACACAACATGGTTAAGTAAATTCAACATTTCATTTTTAGAGTGCACACTCGAAAAACAGATTGTTGGATTTACTTAACAAAATTGTCAACAATTTCCACTAAACTAACTGAATTGAGTAAATGTAAAGCAACTTYCAYATTAACACTGAAAGAAATTGTGAAAGATGCTTTACACTTTACATACGACACACAACAGGGGACGTTGAACCCCGCTTGCACTCACTACATACAYATAACAAAAAACACCAAACAACCACAGCCRAACCATCCAAACCAATAAGTCAGGTGATGGGGCACATGACCCTCTATGAACAWTAGAACTAATCAAGYCTRTTGTTAGGCAATKGCCCTCTTTTGCATGCGACTAACCTGTTTGTCCATGTGGAGGCAGTGCTTATAAGGCTGAGTTCACCTGAAACTCATCAGACTGAAGAAGTCTCTTGGGGGAGAGATGAAACGTTTCACTAAAGAAGAACCCATCCAGAGGACCTACTTATTACTTTTTTCTTTTTGACTTTTTCTACCTGTATTACTGAGATGCGTCAGGACATGCTTTACACTTACTCAACTCAATTAAGTGGAAATTGTTGACATAACTTAGTAAAATAAATCCAACAATCTGTTTCTTGGGTGCACAAACAACTCATTTTATACTGAGTTCCGATCATACGTCAATTGTCATTTTTATGTTTTGAATGTAACAAAATAAATGTAAAAGTTATGTTTAAAAAAATGGCAGATCCACAARAAATTACTTAAGTATCGTAAATGCACTTTCTTATTTTACACCATAATGGCACTAGCCTGGCCCTTGCCTTCCTACACAGTTCCACTCAATTCTAGTTTCCTTTCACTGCTCCATCTGTGATTTCTCCCATAGACAAAGATTTCTTCAGGAGAATTTTCATTCAGGCCAATCAGCAAACACAAGGCGGTTTTGAACGACATCGATTTTCTGCGCAGTGTCTGCTAGTTAGTTTAGCATACGGCAGTGGAGGAAGTGAATGAAGCCAGTCTGTGTTGATAAGGTTTCCAAATTAAATAAAATTTGTCTGACAAAGCAGCAGCTCTCATTTACAGTCGTTTCGTTCGACTCGGTACTTTTTTACTTTCAGTAGGGTTGTTTACAGCGCATACAATTTCTGGTTAGCTTCCTAGCTTAGCCTCCTTCACAGTGGAGCTGGCACACATACGTACATTGTGGCCAGCCGATCCAATCATTTTAAACTTCTGCAGAGGCCACACCTCCAGCAAGAATCGCTTCTCTAGTCGAGAGTCCAGACCCTCGTACGAAGCAAAGTGAAGGACAAGGGTCTGGTTTTTACCAGGCTATAGTGTGGCACAGGATATTTGTTTAAAACTTTGGCCCACAAGGTTGCAGGCATTAGACATTCTATGCTTTTTAATTAAAGTTACCTTTTATGCTATTTGTAGAAAAAAATTAGTTTACTCAAAAAATAGCTGTTTTCAAGTAAAATAATCTACAAACCCTGTCAAAAAACATCTTGTTTTGCAACTTTAGTCTGATAAAGCAGTTATGTTGTTGGATTTTCAGCTTCTTTTTGTTGAAGTGATTATTTTTTTAAGGTTTTGTCTGATTTGTTTTTATTCACACTATATTGTTGGACATTTCAGTAACAAAAAAGAAAGAAAGAAAGAAAACAACTTTATCAACCAAGTACTTTGTTGTGTCTTGTTGAATGAATGAAAAATTGAAGAATTGTATTTTAAAAACCTGAAAAAAATATTATTAGTTAAAATTAATCCACTAAATATAATTCATTGGTATGAGTCAATCCTTAAAGGTTACTTTGAAATAAAACAAATGATGGACCCTGAAAAAAAATCATTATAATTGTGTTTTGGATTTTTTGCTTTTCAAAAAATTTAGATTTATAAGCAATCAACAAAAAAACATTAAACAAACCTAAATTCAATGTACATATGCAATTCAAATCTACAGTATTTAAATCAATCAGCCTTGTGCCTTGGTTGTTTTAATGAGAGGTATTTCACCCTTTAACTATATACATTTAGTTTGAAAGGTTGCAGGTTGGATTTAATCTCTAGGTGCTTGTTAGAATTTTTTTCTCTCTCTTTTTTTGGACAGTATCCCAGTTGTCTTTAAGATTTTTTAATGCACACAAAGTAAAACACATACTGAGTTTTTTTCTTCTTCTTAATATTAATGTGTTCCTTTGCACCACTTGACGTTCCCTGTTGCAACCCTGYGCAGATAATCAGTCGAGCTATTTCACAAATATTGAATTTTTGTTCAGCCAAGGTACGGAGCAAACTTTAATCTACATTCTTTTACCAAGAGAGTGAGGGATTAAAAAAATGGGGGGAAAACCTTCCCTGCTTCAGTTTTTTTATTTTATTTATTTTTTTTGTGTAGCCATTGTCCCCTTTTACAACTGTCAAGTTTAGTCGGGTAACTTCAATCAGCTTCGCCGCTGTATTTCTTGTCTCGCAATCGGAAGTTCCAGAGCTACAGAGACAGAGATTACAAGTCTGCCAATGTTAGATTTCAGTGGAAATTGCCTGTGTCTTACAGCGGGGCCGCTGTGGTGAATTGAGCTGAGCGGAGCTGCAGACTGTGTCTTAATTTGCTCCACCTGTTCGCTTTGGCGGCTGCTGGGAAGGGCTGCCAGATCCATTAAACAGACCTAGAGGGCAGAAGCTGGATAGAAAAGGAGGCGGTCAGATGGGAACAGACACCGCTCATATGGAGAATTTGTGTTTGTGTKTGGAGAAAGAGGAAGGAGTTTCGGGTATTTTTTTTTCTTTTATTTATTTTTTCTTAACAAAGCTGCTGCTGTGCGAACAACTCCAGCATATTGTTAGGAGCTTAAAGCGGTGTGGCTGCTGCCTGTTTTGTGTCACTTGCATATCGCGTGGAGCTTATCAAGTGGAGCTGTTTAAAAAGTGGCTGATGATGATGATGGTGTTGAGACTATGACGGCGAGTGAAGTCACTTCCTCCGGGGAGCACTTGTAAGCCTCCCTGCTGCATCTTTGTTCTGGAGTCCCATCGGGGGGGGCAAACCAAGCCAAGTGTTGGAACAGACTGAGCACCTGCACGCTTGATTTACTTCTAGTAATTGGACATGCTCTTCCTATTTTTTTCTTTCTTTTTTTTTTTTGACTGGGACAAAGTGGTTACATGTTACCTGTTCAGGCATTGTTCCAGGCAGTCTTGCAGCACGTGGACCCTGTATGTTACTACGCACGGGGGTCCACGTGTGCTGTTGACAGTGCGGTGCGTGCGAAATACAAATGCATCAGAAATGGTCTGYTCGGCGATAACAAATCACATTTTCATCTCTSGGCGATTTCTCAGCCTCATCAAACRGTTCAAAGGGTTCCTTTTCTGTAGTGCTGCAGGAAATTTAAAATGCGCTCACTCATCCGGGCGTTGGGTACACTGCTAAGGAGTGAAACTGATTGGTAATTAGTGGTACCATTTGCATTTAGTCTCAATGGGTAAAAGCCTAATCAATGTTGTGTCCGCTAGTGGCTTACTGGGAGGAAAGAAAAAATAAAAACACCCCAATTACATTAAGACACAAATAAGTTTGGATTTAGTTTGGTAGYCAAGGACAACCTGGCTTCCTCAGAGGAGCTCAGGTCTGCCTGCTGCCTCTGACGGCGGCGTTGTGTGTGTAACAGGGTGACAGCCCCGTGTATTAATAATGATTCCCAGACTTCTTTCCCTTCCCTGCTCTGATGGAATATGAAACAGATGACTAACGAGAGAGCTGCCTTTTCACTCTAAAGGACGGGCCGATCGCTGGCTCCCTGCGACCATGAGGGCGAAACCACGTGGAATTCAAGGCAGCAAAAAAAAAAATAAAAAAGAAAAAAGAAAAGAAAAAGGACCCATGTGGTCATTTGTGGCTGTGTAACATTTTATCCATGAGTCCACTCACCAGTAAATTGCCTGTGCTCTGAAGACAGACTGAGTCCCCCCCCCCCCCCCCCTCCTCTCTCCTCCTGGTCAAAACTTCACGCTTTAGCAGCTGCAACTGAACCGCTATTGTTAGCAGTCTTGAAGCTGTCATTTTCAGCAGAACAAAGGTTATCGCAACCGATTGATAAAAATTTCATCCGCAGACGGGTGCTTTTATGTGGTGCATGGGGGAGGGGAGATGTTATAAGATGTGTGTTCTGCCCCCGGCGTCCGCTGGCACGTCTCCTCCTGCCTCCTGTTTAAGCTGAGTTCAAAATGATAATGAGAGCAGTGAGCAGCCAGCGGTCCCCCAGCACTCTGGTGAGCAAAGCCAGATCCACTCAGGACTCCTCTGGGCCTCTAATTGGGACTCTAAATCATTGTGTCACCTGTCACTCATGGTGGGGGTTTGAAGGTGGGGGTTGTACAGTGGCTGTGATCTCCAGCTGAGGGAGGGACCAGACCAGAGGAAGTGGGCTGCACTCAGCTTTTAAAGCAGAGACATTCTAATGACAGCAGGTTGCAGAGGACGGACAAGGAGCGCTTTGTGTCCTTTAAGCAGAGAGTTCACCCTTATATACACTGAGACTTATTTCTGTTCTCATGAGTAGTACAGTAGGTGCTGCCGATACGCCAACACATTTCATCCTCCTGTTCGTTCAGTTTATTTACGACCTTTTCTCAAAGTTTGGCTGCACCAGATTCTTTTCTTTTTTTGCTGTTGCTAACCCCCCACTGCTGCAACAATGACAGGATCGGCCATGTTAATTAAAATGCTCTCTGCATCAAAACATTTTTCAGAAAAGAGGTTTCGGTCTTGCCTAAAGTGCTTTTATTCCTTTTTTTTACAAAGATGGGAACAACATATAAAAGAGAATTCAGACAATTTTGGTGGATAGAAAAGTTTTTTCCTTAATTAGCCTTTTTTAGGTAATCAATTAAAAAAGTTTTAAACCTTAAATGCTTAACATTTGCCAAGAATCTGTCAATCCATTATATTTACACACTTCTTCCTTTCAGGGTCACAGGAGTCACTGGTGCTCATGCACATTCTGTCCACTGATTCTATACTTTTTACAAAAAGTAAAGAAAGATTATTTCTTTGCTGTAACAATGCTTGACAATAATTATTATAGCGGCTACCTGATTGACAGCACCTGGAGGTACCAGGAGCTCAAAACAAGTGTCAAAAGCAACTCCAAAATAAGCTGTTTGGCAGAGAAGATAGAGCAAATCTTTCATGTGCACAACCCACATACTCAGCTCTACTGCTCATCCCGCAAATGCCTGTTCCTTACAAATCTGGCTCCATTTAAGAGGGAAATGAACAGACTTTCTAACAATATAAGATTTATTGCCAATAATCTACAAAGTACCAATTTCCTTACTTTTTGTGCTATGTTTATATTATGTTAACACAACGGACAAAGGAACACAGACACAGGCAAAAACACGATGTCCCATATTATGGCAGCGGTTGATAATGACACAAAATTCATTGGAAATAAGCAAATTAAAGTTGTTTTCTGTCAGATGAAGGTAGATGAAAAAGGAGTTATTCCTGGTGCAACAAATGGTTTTTATCCACCAAAATTTTGGGAAATCTGTGTCACAAATTGTTTAAAAAAATACGGAAGTACCAGCTTTTTTAAACAAACTGGTTCACATGACAATTAGGCTGATTTTTGGACCGATTTTTGGACTGATTTTTGGACAGATTTTGTCCGTCCGACAATCTTAAGAATGTTCAGATTATCGTATTGGCTCTAAAAATAACCTTACAAGATATTTCTGTAGTGTTTTGTGTGTTAAAAGTAATGTAGAAGGCTCGGAAATGTGTCGGGACTGCTACGATCTCAAATCATGGATATTCAACGTGTTGGTTTGTCTTGGCCTGATGTCTCAGCGTGTACCTCGAGGACAAACAAGGACACAGCCTTTTGAATGTGACTTGTAACCAGTCAGCATGTGAGGTGATGGAAAGACAGAGGGGAATCCAAAATACAGAAGACAAAACAACTGCCATGGTTCACCAGAAAGTCCGGTGGACATCGGAGAAGTTTTTTTCTCTTATAAATAGTCTACAAACTATCATCATAACTTTTTTTTTGGCATGAAGCACACACACAATGCTCAACTGAAGAATAGTGAAAACGGGAAATGAAAAGGCTGGGGTTAATAAAGGGTTAATAAGGGATATAGCTGAGACTAATGAGAATGGGAAACAGGCGTAGTTGGGCATGGCAGGACTGAAGAGCTGAGACTAAAATAAAAACAAAAAACTGAGCATAGCTGAAAAGCCAGGGAGGCAAAGTAACAAACTGAACACCAAGTAAATAGAAACTAAACATAATAAAAAACAAACATTAAAATAAACCTTTAAAAAACAGTTTAATAAACACAGATCATGACAGCCTGTTCTTCTAATGAGGACATATTTTCTAGTTTTGGTGCAACTGATGCTAAACTCAGTATCTTTGCTGACCTCTTTAGAGACAAGTGTTGTTGACTGTCATCAGCCTGTAGCTGCCAAAAAGAACAGAGTGTCGATTTGTCCAAAATCCCTGTTAATTGGCCACAAGTGCAGAACTCGATGCCGGTCATGGTGCCTTTTTTTCCCAGACATTTCTGCCATAAATGACAAGAGCAACAAAAAATTGACAAGACTTCTGATTACTCTCGGTGATCCGTCTCATTTGTTTACAGTTTCATCACAAGCTTCTGTATTTAGAGGTGGGCCTCCCGAAAGATAATGGAGTGGAGGTAATCATACTTTTTCACTGATGCTTCCCCTTACAGCAGCCTGATTAAAAGTTGGACCTGCAGCAATGATATACATCTACACTGAGCACAAACATTGTTTAAACTAACAGGAAAACTAATTACTGCGTCACAATCATCCACTAATCAGACATCACTGAATAAGCACACTTCCCAAAATGAAAACAAGTTTATTCATGCTTTGTATAGTGTGATAGTAGTTACTGTCTGCCTTATTGTGGCAGCAAGTGATCGTGTGTGTTTCTCTGTGTGTTAGAAAATAATAAATTACCTTATTACTAATGGAAGTTGTAATTTTTCAACTAGCTAAAAAGTCCAAGTTATTGACTATGTGTAGATCATCATTACTTATAAATGATATATTTTCTTTGTACATCAACATTATTATATCAAGGCAGGGCTCACTCTAGTGTTATTTATCTCTAGGATGTCAACATGATTCTAGGTTCCTGCCACAGACAAAGACTGAGATAAATCTGTCAATTTTACAAATATTGAGCTAAAATTTGGTGTTCTAGTGGCTTAGAGTCATCCAGTCAACAGATTGCTCAACATCTTTGTTTAAAACTTTGGCTTGCAAGGTAACAACATGCATTCCTTCAAGAAAAGCTAGTTCTATTCATTAATGGAAGGGGTGCCCAATCCTGGTCGTGGCGCATCAAGACCCTGCATATTTTAGATGTTTCTCTACTTTGACACATCTGATTTGAATGAATGTGGGATTAACAGGTTTCTGCAGAACTTGAAGTCTGGATAGTGGCCCTCGTAGTCCTTGTATATCCATAGGTACACTGCAAATAATATGATTACATGTAAACACAAACTTCTAAATATATAAACATACGATTATTGATGGGAACGCTTCAAATGGGCTTAATGCTACCTGTATGTTAACAGATACACCAATAATTTCAAGAAGCAAAGAGTGTAATTGATCTCACACAAAGTGTATTTAGAACAGAAATGTTTGTAATAATGAAGTGGAAGCAGGGCAGGCTGAATGGGGGAATTTATTCGTTACTTGCTCTGAGAAGGATGGATGGAAATTCTTGGGTCTTGGAGTCTTGCCAGTCTGTCTGCTGAAAAGTGAAGACACTTTCTCTACAAAGGGATGTAGAGAGAAGTCAGAGAGAGGTGGTGAAGCAGGGTTGCGAGAAGTATCAGTGCTGTCAGAATATATAGAGTACATAATTGGAAGCTAGGAATGATTGCTCAAGGTGATCAAGTGGGGGGCTTTTTTCCCCCTTCCTTCAGTTTCACTTTAAATTCGCAATTCATTTCCTGCCTTTCTTTCTACAGAAACAGCCTGACTGACCTAAGTAAATCATTCAGAAAGCCATGGAAAAGTGCATTTAACCCTCTGTTTTTCTGCTCTGTTATTCAGATAAATGTGTTCCTGATCATTGTTGCTCCCTGGTTTGATTCTTCCTCAGGGGGAGGACTGTGACACAATGTGCCCTCAGGGTGTATTTGGGCCGAGCTGCATGTCCACTTGTTCCTGCCACAACCATGCGTCCTGCTCTCCAATCGATGGCTCCTGCACCTGCAAGGAAGGTATACGTCTATCMGACAAGTTTATATAATGAGAAACATGGATCGGAGAGGTTCATTACTCACCTGACCTACAGTAACATGTACTCCACATGTGTTTCATGTGTTTTCTTGATCAAAGTAACAAACCTGATTTTGGTTAAATGGGTCAGCCTATCAGCTTTTTATCAGCCTGTAGCTGTTTTGGAACACGGACATATAAACATGAAAGGCAGGATTAGAAATAATCTATTTATAGTTTTTGTCAGGCAATTTTCGGAGAATCATAAATATGTGATTGCTGCCCCTACTTATTTGTCTTATTTTTTTTACTGTTTTATGTTTTATATGAGGTTTTCTAAAGAGATTTGAAGTATTTCAAATAAAAGTCTATAAATAAATACAAATAAAGCTTCAATCCCACCCCAGTCATTACAGCTCCTTTCTAGTTTAGTGGATATATATCTCATATACTGATGGATGACAAAGTAAATCCTTAAACAAATGTGTGGAGATATACAATTTTCCACTCTGATGCTCTGGACATCACAAGTAATAATTTAACGTTCAATCACGCTGTGAAGCTGGTGAAACAAATGTTGAGCAGAGCTGTTTGTTTGAGAATTTATACTGAGGTGACAAAGGGAAAAGTTTTATTCACGCATTTTACTTTTAAAGTAGTAATAAAGATAAAAAATTGCTTTAGATTTAAGATAAAAAAGGCAAAGACTTCATGTCTTATAGCAGCAAGTTTAAATGTTATAACAAGATTAAAATAGTTTCCAAAAAAAAAACCAAATTGTTCATGAGGGATTCAGTATGTCAAATATAATTTTTAGCATTTATAAAAAAACCATTATTTTATATGACCTCAATATATTTAAAATCAACACATTAACACACTCTAAAAATGAAATGTTGGATTTACTTAACCATGTTATGTTACCTGGTTCCACTTAACTGAGTTGAGTAAATTCAAAGCAACCTGCTCATGTTCTTTGGCTAAAAAACTGGTATATTGCTTTGAATTTACTCAGCTCAGTTAAGTGGAACCAGGTAACATAACATGGTTAAGTAAATCCAACATTTCATTTTTTACAGTGCATTTACTAGAGCAGGGGTTCCCAGACATTTCAATGCCATGGCCCCCCAAGTAGCATTAGCTTCTGGCCGGGGACCCCCTTTTAAAACCCAAAAACACTGCTGCGAAATCTGTAAAGAAACATCATTTTAGAACGTTTTTCTCTCACTTTTAGTTAATGTTCATATATAATACCTTTGTTTAACAGAGAACAGCTTTTAAAAACTTTATTATAGTCCCACTGAAAACCAACTTTTCAACAAATTGTTGACGAAAAGAACAGAACAAAATAAATCAAATTTYTCTTAAGCTCTCCTAAATAACATTTCAAAATATAAACGTATGAATTACCTTTCAAAGTGACAATTGRAAAAATGMTTTGATTTTATGATAATGATTTTTTATTTTTGCCATCTTTTTTTGTCTTCCCTCTAACATTCTGAGGACCCCCTAGTGCCCTGTTGCGGCCCCCACTTTGAAACATTTTGTACTAGACTATGAATAAAAAAGTTTGGGTTTGAAAACTTATTGTTATTGTTTTGTTGATTCACTGTAACCTGCATGTGACATAAATTACTGTCTGAAATTATTATGTTGTTCTCCTTCAGGTGGTAATTACATGATACAAATCTTATCACACTGTTGTTTTCACCTGATTATACAACTGTAACATAAAGAGCAACAAAGACAATTTATTTTCTTGTTCTCATGGTTGGTATCAGTTGAAACATTAATATTTTCATTATCATGAACTGCAGCCTGTTTGTGTTGCATGTGCATGTGTGTGTGTGTGGGCACATATTTGCTACATCGTGGGAACCAAAAAGCAGCCAAGTGGGGACCGAACGTGTTTCGTGGTGACGCATGCTTGGTCCCCGCGAATGCAAATAGGTTTAGGACCAAGGTGTGAATTGAGTTTAGGTTAGTTTTAGGGTCAGATAGGGTCAGACCTGTGAGGTTAATTTTAGGGTATAAGGCCTATAATTCAGTTAAATTAACAAATATTGTGCTAAGACTTGGTATTCCTGTAGCTGAGAGTTGTTTGCAACACATACTCCAAGTGCTACTGATTGAACAAGAGTTATGCTTTTATTGCTGAAGTCAACCCTGGATAGATTTAAATGAAACTCTCAGAACCAAATCACTGGATGTATGTTTATAACAGTCATTCTGGTTAGGTAGCTGCGACGGCTAAGTGACCTCAATACAAACATTTTAACCCTGCATTTCTTTAGGGAATTCTAGGCCTTAAGTTAAAGTAATGGGCCTCCGCAAAGCTTCTGTAAATAAATGTGAACCATCTGATGTCTGCTCTCTCCCACTCGAGGCTGGCAGGGCGTGGACTGCTCCATCCCTTGTTCCAGTGGCACGTGGGGCTCGGGCTGTAACCAAACATGCTCCTGCAGCAACGGCGCTGCATGCGACCCCGTGGATGGCACCTGCTCTTGTTCTKCTGGGTGGAGAGGGGAGCGCTGTGACGAGTCCTGTGCTGTAAGTCAAACCTTTAGGCTTATTAGAATATGTACCAGCTGAGACATTTCTGTGTGTGTGTGCTTCAATTGTTCAACATGTCGTCGCCAGGACGGCACCTACGGGTTGGAGTGTCGCGAACACTGTGACTGCAGCCACGCTGAYGGCTGCGACCCCGTTTCCGGCTCGTGTCGTTGCTTCCCTGGATGGACAGGTTGGTTCAAATCAAGCTGCATCTGAAACTAACTGGACCTTGTTAGTTGTTCCCCATCAGCTGAAAAATCAAAGACACCAGATGCCAGTTGGTGACACCAGTACAGTTTGTTTACAGAATCTCCAATTGGCATTTCATGAATTAAATCCTCTCTTTATTTTGCCGCTCAGCCTGCGGCGTAGCCAGATGAAAAATATTGAGAAGTGAGCTCTATTCAGATGTTTTTGGCTGATTTGGTATGCAGTCCTGTTGATATAAATTTATTGGTTCTACAAAATAACTAAGTCATTAGACACATTTTTGAAGGATCAAGCACATTTTTGGAAAATAATGCTTCCTTAATTTATAGACATATTATATAATATATTGACTTTTGGGTCCAAGTTAATGTTAAATCTGACTGAACCTCCTGCCAGACCCTTAATTATCAAATGCTCAGATTCTCCTCAGATGTTTTTCATCACTTAAAGGATTCACTCACAAAAGAAGAGCTGGTGATGGGGAAAGCGTGAAAGACACAGCAAGGCTGAGGATCGTGGTTTTGAGAAATCGGGTGTTATTCTGAATAGCAGACACGACTAACTGAGGACCTGATCTCAGAGTTTAGGTGGAGAAGAGCAGTCAGGGAGGGAAAAAGATTCGGGATGAAAAGGTCGAGCCCTCAGCGGTGCACTCCATTCAGCCCTCCTGAGCTTAGGGCATTTATTCTGGGAAACAATGTGGGGTTTTTATTAGCTGCAAGAACGGAGTCGACAAGATGGRCCTCTCATGCTCTGAATCCTGCACAGGTCGGGACCATCTGTCAGCCTTAATTGAGTCACCAGGGTGCAGGGCTGGGGGGCAGTGCGCGGCCCAGTGGGTCAGACAAACACGTACACACTCGACGAAGAGGACTTGGTGGAATTTGTCTCAGGAACGAGTCGTGGATGGCAAAAACCAAAAACGTCTATTTACAGAAAGTCGAGAACTGTTTTCTGCCGCAAACTTTGTCGCGAGGGTGTTGGATTCAAATTTGGGACTTGCTGTGAGTTTTATTGGTGTCAGAAAGAGTCAGGAAGCTCAGATTGAGTTATTTCGTGCAAGAGCCTAAGCTGTTTGTGACTTACTCGGTTGTTGCTGAGCCRTTGTAAACCTGACAAAAAAGGGTCTCTCTAACGAGGCGCTTGGCGGTGGGGGCTTAGCCCATGCTAAATAGGATCTCGCCTTTTACTTGAGATCCCAGTCCATGTAATAGTGCAGGTGATGTAACAGTGTGTTTATATGCAGAGACCAAGAGCTAAAAAGAAAAAGAAAGATTTGGTTTGCTGTACTCGCTCTGTACAAATTGGATAGTGGGGACCTTTGGCACTTCTCAGCAGAAAGCTTTCTTTGAAGCAACCTCAGTCTTTCTTCTTCCTTCTCACCAGGCAATGAAAGCCCCTCTGTTTGTCACCATTACACTGAGAAATCTGATGCTCTGTCTGCTCTCATTTTCTAACAGCAAAGGCAGTTTCTGTTTTTTTTTCTTCTTTTTTTTCTCCTGGCCAGCCCAGCACAACCTCAAACACACTCGCGTACGTTTCGCCCTCCTTTTGATGTCCACGGTTCTGCTCCCGTCTAAATCACCTCTGCCCTCGACAACTCGAACGCTTCCTCGCCGTTACTCCCTCCACGCCTGCCTTAAAGGGTGGGCTGCGKTTACTGTATATCATTAATCCCACGAGTTTAGTCCAGGTCTAATTCAAAGGTTTCTGCGCTAAAGCTGGTTTAATGGCTACACCTATCTCTGATACTCTCATTCAAAGGAAATTTCAAATGAGCCGCGAACATGGCTGAAGCTCGAGAGGTTGTAGAGTTTAGGTGCGTGAGACTTGAGTGCAGCTGTGATATGCAGCGCGTTACAACATTATGAAGATACATGGCCGCATGTAGCACGCAACTTTCTCCTTTCATCTCGCTTTTCTGAAAGGCTGAGAGAGGAAACGTGCCTCTCTCTGATGGATGTGCTAATGCATTCGTGCACAAGAACCCCGAATGAATGCAGCAGGGTTTTTTTTTTTCAATTGTTGGCTGGAGCTGCACCAGTGTGACACTTCCAGTCTGTCCTCTTGCAGTCTGAGTACCACCCTTCAGCTCCGTACACAACCCCAACTTAGCTGAAAGAGAATGAGAGACAAGCCGGAGCTCTCTGGAGGCCCAACCCTGTTAATCAACACAGTGCACTGGCAAGGAGCCCCAGTCAGATCAAATATAAAATACGTTTGGAAAGGAGAAACAAACTTCAAAATGATGATTTTTTTTTAATTTGAGATTGAAATCATGCTGGATGAATAACCTTGCATAGATCTGTGAAGCATTGTGAATGCTAAGCTGTCATACTTTTATTTTTTTTCTTTAAATTTTACAGATGGCTGTTAAGAATGTTTCAGCTTCGCAGCTTTTTTTTTTTGCCCTCATCGTTTGCATTCACTGAATATTCGTTTTGTTAATGCGCCCGCAGGAATCCACTGTGATAATGTGTGCCCACAAGGCTTCTGGGGACCCAACTGTTCAGTCAGCTGTTCCTGTCAGAATGGCGGGTCCTGCTCTCCCGAGGACGGCACATGTGTGTGCGCACCTGGATACAGAGGCACCACGTGCAAAAGAAGTGAGACACCCCCCCAACACACACACACACACATACACACACACCTCCCCTTCTCTTTTTCAGTGCAACCCCTCTTGATCCAAAGCCTGGAGAAATAACTGTCTGACACGGAGAGAGGCGCAGTAACAAACTCCATCATGGCGCTGACCTTGTTTTGATCTTTGAAGAATTGTTAAAGGGTGAGCCAGCTCAGGAGAGGCACTCAGCTGTCGGTCACAGTGGCTCGAGTGTAAATCCTTCATCACAGCTATCGCTTAATCACAGTGTCTTTAACCCTGCGGCATCCCTCAGACATACACTCGCGYGTAAACACACACACAGACACGCGCTCTTCATCCTTCCACACTGTCCTTAACAAGCAGCTCGCAGTGGGAGACTCGGTCCTCGCCCGAGGCTCATCAGTGGGCAACGCTCACTGGGCGCGCCAGAAAGGGGTCCGTCTGAAGCCGCTCTCGACTGAGGAGCTCGCTGATTGTGGGCAAAATTCGCAACCTGTAAACATCAGTTTGGGGCGGGGAAAGGACGGAACTTACACGCACACGCGGCACGTTTGTGTGGATGTTTAATTTTGTGTGGAAGGTAATTTACTCATCAGGTACGACCTCATAAGCCCAGCTTTGTTCACGTCATTTTTTTATTCACCCCCAGTAAAATTTTATTAAAGAGATTACATGCTTCCCCAGAGGCTGATAATATGTTTTTCACCTTGCGTTTGCAATATAATCAACACCTTCTGTGTAAACTTTCACATTGCCTGGATGTCAAACCGTGACAGCAACTGTTTTATTAGTTACTAAAAAGAATTTGTTTAGGAAATACCTGATTGTCCCCTGAGATTAATGTTATTGGAGGATAATTATTCCCCTAATCGCTGCTTCTGGAGCTGGGAATTTAACACTTTAGGACGTAAGCGTCTTATCTGTTGCAGCCTCTTGCAAAATTGATTATATCTGTAGCTCTTGCACCATCTTTAAATATCTTTGCATTTTTTTTTCAGTAAGATCTTCATTTTTTTTTRCACATATTAGGATGCTTTCCAGACTTTAGCAGTCCTCTTACTATTCCATCTGTGGCTGCAGATAAAGTGGCGGTGATTACAATAATGACTGACTTTTCTGCTCTCACCCTCCCTTTGCAGCCTCTCCTTGTCTTTTCTGCTTTGATTCCTCCAGCGTTGATTTTTTCTCCCCCCACCCCACCCCCACTCTCTCGCTCTACTCCCTTGATCGCTCTTGTCATGCTGTGTCTTATAATTATATACCTCTTGTTCCATCAACATTGGTGACTGATTCCCTCTCGTCTCCCGCCACGCTCCGCTGCCTGCAGTCTGCTCTCCAGGGTTCTACGGCCACCGCTGTAGCCAGTCGTGTCCACAGTGTGTGCACAGCACCGGCCCGTGCCATCACGTCACCGGCCACTGTGAGTGCCTCTCTGGCTTCACGGGTTCTCTGTGCAACCAAGGCAAGTAGCACGCTCAGTCCTGCTCCTGCAGTTCGCCTTACAAATTCATGAGGTTTTAGTTTCTGCCACTAAAAAATATGCAGGGATATCAAATTATTTTTGCCCTCACAGAAAATACCTAAAAGTCTTGATTTATTAAGTGCATAGTGCGCCAAGTGAAAAATAAAATGCTGAAAARTGTCACTCTCACATTTTCATTATTTAGCTCACTTTCTGAGTTTAAAATCCTGGTTAAAATTTTTTTCCACTAACATTTAATTGTTATTTAACTCACTGTTTGTACATTTGCTGCTTTTTTCGAAATACTAAATTTAAATGTTAAACATTTTATTAAAATCCCAAATCAAAACGTGTTAATCTAAATATAAAACTTAAATCTTAACTGTTGAGACTAAATGTTGAAGTTTACATCTAGGTATTTCAGAACGGAATGCAGCCTTTGCTGTGGGTGCTTGGCTTCTGTTATGATGTCATCATCCTGAGACAAAAGTAACCACTAACCCTGCAAATGTTGACAACGCTGCTAACTCTGCTAATGCATCCCTACAAGACATCAAACTTGCCGTTGTGGCCAGTGTCTGAGCTGCACGTCAAACTGCCCGATCACAGGTATCATCCATATTGTTTTCAATTTTGAATTAAAAATTTAAATGCCATCTTCAGCGTTAGCAGCGTTAGCAGCGTTAGCCGAATGATGCTATAACAAGAGCCGTGCACCAACAGCAATGGCTTCATTTTATTCCATTAAGATTTAACGTTTACATATAGATTTATACATTTTATTTAGATATTGGTTTAATATTTACATATACCATTTAACATAAAAGTTTAATATTTAACAAAAATGAGCAAAATGTAAGAACTGTGTGCTGAATAAAAAAGTTTTTAACTATATTTTACAATCAAAAATTAAGCTAAACATGTGTTGGTGACATTTTTCAACAGTTTATTTTTACACTTTGTGCCCAATATAAGTTAACATTTTATCATGCAACTTTATGGTTATACTAAATATTTTTTTAGAGTTCATTTTCATGTCAAACAAACTGATTTTCTTGCTGTATTTCATGGAAACGCATCATTTGTTGTTGCCTCTCTGATGTTTGTGGTTTTGTGAATCATGAATATTGACAACTTCATGCAAAAAGAAAAAAAAAAGAAAAAAAAATCAACCTTCAACCAAAAATGAAAAATTGCTGAGACACACTTTTTTCTAACAGTGTGTGAGTAAATTTTGCAGCACCTCTGCCTAATTCTGCAGAGGGAATTGCATGTGAAAATCTTTTCATTAATATACAAAGAGGCAACATGTGCACATCTGTTCTCCTTGTTAAATGTAATTTCAGGACAACCTGTCTTTTGTGTATTGTCTCGGTGATGATTTAATTACACAGAAAGGCCTTGTTGAAGATGTGAAAAAACATCTGAAATGATTTTGAAACCTTTGTGTTGTTTGTGTGCTTCTTTCAGGCAGATAAGTGTTTTATTTAATCTGGAAGGAGTCTTGGGTCATTTCATTACATGTGTGCCTTTCTGAGCCATCTTAAATACACAAGATGATTTTTGTTGAGGTTTTACTGTTAGAAAAGTGTTAAAGAACAAATGAAAATCTTAGAAATGTGTCTCYTCTTTGTTAATTTATTAGACTAATTGTTCACGGCCTATAATCATAAACCTTTTCTTGACCGTAAGTAGAGTGTTCAAGTGYTCAAAAGCGTCCAAAAAGAAAGAAAAGAAGAATCCCAAATGGAAATGTTCTATAGATTTTTACTTCTAATAATTTAGCTTTTATTTCTTATGAATCACAGAAAGGCTGTGGAGGATTTCTCATTCTCTTTCATGCCTTTAAGCAGTGTCTTATAAATAAAAGTTTAAAAGCCGCGCTGAAGGAAGGGAAGGAAATAAAACGAGTAAAGATGAGAGCCAGTCCTAATTTGTCATGGTTATAATTACTGCTGAGCAGACGTCAGGCAACGAGGGACGAAGGTGGMCGGCAACATGCGCGCTCCTCCTCTAGCTGAGCCCCGTCGGCGTCCTCACTTGTCCTCTGTCCAGCACACAAAGTCCCAGCCTAATGAAGCTCTCCTAGTGAGTTGAGATTTGAAACCTCAGAAGCAGCATGGGGGAGTCAAACCTCGTGGCTTAATGACAACCTGCTTGAAGGAGCTTGAAAGAGCTCTCAAGAAAAAAAAGTGTGTGTGTGTGTGTGGGTGTGTGTGTGTGTGTGTGTGTGTGTGTGTGT